ACACACACACACACACACACACACACACACACACACACACACACACACACACACACACACACACACACACACACACACACACACACACACACAACTTGTCAACCCTCCCGATTTTCGCGGGAGACTCCCGATTTCATTGCCCTCTCCCGGTTTCTTCCCGGGGTCATATTTCTCCCGATTTCTGACAAAATCAGATTTACTCAGGACTGTTTCCACTCGGACTTTAATACAGCTACACCATTGTTTGGTTTCCATGGTAACACGTCTCTTTAGTAGCGCGCGCAACTGAAAATCTGACAAGGTGAGGCAGATAGTCACAGAAAACAGAACAAGAATCGACAACTACTCTACTCTCTGCTCACTCCTTTCCTGCCCACACATATGCTCCATCAAGGATGGTGCTACATGCTGCACTTAGAAATACAATAAGCATGTTAATGTTAATCTAACAGCTCCGGCGATAAACTAGCACCCCGCCCCCCCCCCCATTTTGCATTTTGAAATGCTCCCGATTTCTGAAATCTCAAGGTTGGCAAGTATGCACACAGTCACATGAAAGCCACCCCTTTAATGCAGATGTATTTTCTGATTTCTACATTCTGTTCTTGTTGTTTGTGGTACTTTTTTCAGATTGATGTACAGAGTACTTTAGTGCAGGGGCATGAGGTAGAGATTGAAAATTTACATGATGAAGACCTTACCTGCCTCCTTTACCCAACAAATATACTCAACTGCTCCTGGTCATTCAACACCGTACAGCAGGATACTCAGCTCTTTGTCAACATCAGGTCTTTTTTTAAATGATACATTACACATGTGGCATAGAGAGTATTTATGAATAATTAAAGGCATCCTCACATTCTCTTTCCCTCTGTTTTCATACAGCATCTGTGATGGTAACAAATCAGTTCAGTCTCCTGACCTGTCGTCTAAGGAGAAAGTCGGATCAAGGTCTTTAGCTCTGCACGATCACAAGATGTCACTTTTAATCTTACACTTCAACTTCACCCTGCACGGCGAGTGGACAGTCTACGCCTCCAAATACGACCTCAACATGCTAGGTCAGTGATTCTCAAATGGGGGTACGCGGACCCCTGGGGGTACACTGGGGTACTGCAGGGGGTACGTGAGATTTATAATAATAATAATAATAATGATAATTAAAAAAAAGGTTAATTAAAAAAATACCATGCATGATTAAAAAAATTATCTTAGTACAATAAATTAAATAGAAAACACAATTTTATGTCAAATGTGTGTATTGTATTTGTGTAATCTCACTTCGAGGGGTCAAAAGGTAACCAATAGGGCAATATCACGATGAAATAAACTTGATAATGGAGTGACAGGAATTTTAGTGTCTTACGTAAAAAAAATCAAACCATTTTTACCATATAAAACGAGAGGGGAAAGCTATGGTTGATTTTTTCACTGGCTAGTAACCTATGGTTGTAAGCTTAGTTGCTCGCGGAAATCCGCAGTTCCGCCTGCATTTTTAATAATTATTTTACGAATGTTGTCGTTGTGTGTGCCACAGAGGTCCTGTCTCCACCCCAAAACATCTCTGCATCAATCAAAGATGGAGGTCTATTGCTGACATGGGGTTCGCCCCACAGTAGAGCCGACACCGACCCCTCCTGCTTTGAATACCAGCTGGACATGGGTGACCAGGTACAGTGAACATGTGTGTATGGATGTCAATTATTCAATAATGTAGGCTACGCTTCCTATGATGCCTTATAATGCATTGTAAACATACTTCTTATACATAATAATGCTTACATCACTGGTTGATTATCAAAAATAAACATTTACTCCATTAAGCTACACCAGAATGCATTCTACCCACAAGGAGACAACCTGTTTTAGCAAAATGGCAAATGATATCCAATAAAGCCTTTTCCCTAGCTATCTCACCAAAGTCCCAAAGAAAGCAGCACCTGCAGTGCCAACTCTTTCTCTCGCATGGTAAGGCAACAGGTTCTTAATTATGTGACGGAGGATTTTTATTTATTTATCAGTAGACCTCAACACTTGTATGTGACAGGTTAAGGGGCGGTTCATCTCTAAGCGGTTGACCAATCACAACAGAGCCGGCCAGCTAACCAATCAGAGCAGCTCTGGTTTCAGACAGAGGGTGAAAAGAGGTGCTGCAGCACAGACAGTATGAGAACAATAAAGAGCTTTTTGAACATTAAAGCATGGAGACATGTCCCAGTAGAGACACTACATACTAATGACTTTGCATCCTGTGATTTGGATATTACACTAGACCATAATGTGAATCCATCCTAGTAGAAACAGTAATTACGGTCACTACAGCCAAGCAGCATCTCTCCTTCATGTGTTAATTTTTATAAGGATTTGAGAAAGGTTGCCGGTAAAAATGCCAATCATTTGGTGTCTGCAGCCTCTCAGAAGTAAGACATGTGTTGCTGTTCTCTGTTTTGTTAATCAACCCAATGGGCATTTGACTGATGATCTAATGATTAAATGAGAATGATGGAGTTAAACCAAACCCTGGTGTTGTGGGACTATAATCTCTTATAACCTCAACGCTTTAGTACTGGGCGTTTGTGTAGATTATCTCCTGCAGAGGTAATAAATAGCTCTCCTTGTTCAAACATGGAAGCTGACCACAATGATGCAGCTGACATTTATTGCTGGTCACGTTAGTAGCTATATTTAGATATACTTTATAAATAGAAATACATATTTGTATTTCTATAATAGCTCCCTTTTCCATTCAGCTGATAGTATCACAACAGGTTGTGCTGCGTGCACATTGAAACCATGACGGGGAAAAACACTTCCTATTTTTATCCCAATGAAAAGTATATAAATAGATTAAGTGAAGCTTAAAAAATGCATTTACAAAAAGTGAATACCTTGATAACATAAACTTGTTTTGGTCATAATAATCTTGGGATTGTAGTAATTTCACAAGGACAGAAATGAACACATTACCAATTACATCAACACCAAAAAAACAAAATATTAAAACTTGCTCGAATCCCAAAATGTTCAACTATGAATGGAATAAAAGTGGAAGTGAGCCAGCAAATAGAAGCTGGCCGTTTCATTACTTTATGTTCATGGGATAAATATAAATGTCAATTAGATTGTTATTATAATAATCCTCCTTTTGTAAGGATTAATTCCACTTGGAAAGACATTCTATAAGCACTACTAAAACTACTACTCCC